TGCCAAAAAAAAAAAAAAGCCAACTTCTGGTTCAACACTAAACATGGTTCAAATTAAAAAAAGAAAAATTTTGCACATTTTTAAGCATGCCCCAATTCACCTTAGAAGAGTTTTGAAGAATCCCACGTTCCAGATCCATGACACATGCTCTTAGAAATCTAAGTGAACCATTTTAAACTTAGAAACTGAAAAGCAATAGGTTTTGTACAAGACCGAGTTGCTGCAAAAGCTCTCCCCTCCCAGTTAGTAGCACATAGGAAAAAAAAAGACATATAAAGGAATTAATATATCTTCAAAAGTGTGACACCTCGACAGAATAATTCTGAAAAAATAAAATAAAGCTGTCTGTATTTTATATTACTTTATTCAACTTTCCAGATCCATGATGGAGTTTGAAATGCATTCAAGGAGGTCCCAGTTGTGCATGTGTTTTGAGAATAGGAAGATACACGCGAAACATCGTTTTTGATTATTTTATTGCAAGAGTGAAAAAAGTTATCTCAGTTTATGAGAAACCTATACAGCAGTTTAACAGCCATCAATGGCGACAAGTAGGCCTAAGTAGGGAACAAAGCCACCAATAATAGTTAGATGCCGAAACTTGGAATCAACGGTAATTGTCACAAACACAGATAAATATTCCCATAAACAAAAATGCTAGCTGTATTATCTGCATGGCACACATTTCTTACGTATAAAACTATTCCACAAAATTACACTCTAATATTACCTAGGATAACATGTACTTTTCACGCTTTCTCTTTTGAGAAGATTTTTCTATAAACCTCTTAAAAAGATCAAATAAAAAATAAAATAAAAAACATATAAATCAAAATCAACTTTGTACAAGATAATTTATAAAAAAGATTCACTTATAATATATCTTGAATCCATTTTTTAACTTATAGATAATTGTTTTTCATAAAATCATTCCTAAGACCTTTTTGATTATAAAATGTTGTTTCTTCTTAGTATACAATTTAGTACCATTAATTTAACTAAAAAAATTGTGTTTATCGAAAGAATATTGAAAATAGTTAGAAAATGATATTTTAGAAATAGTAATAATTTAAAATTTGTTATACTCGATTATTTTAATTAATATTAGAAAATTTTAATATAAATAATTTTGTTATGAACAAGTTTTATAATTTTGAAACACACAATCTCTTTAGAAACAATTTTTTTAGAGTTATGTGACTTTTCTCTGAGAGTTCTCGTCCTCTTTTTGTCTAATTAAAGAATTGAGACGGTAAGATTGATTCTTGTGGTGAGCTCTTCAAATTGGACTCATTAGTTTATTTGTATGAGTAAGTTAAGTTTCAACCATTTTTTGTTCATGTGGGTCTAGTTCAACTTACATGTGCCTTTTGAATTATCAGATCGAGTTTTTATTAGTGTTTAGATTTTTTATTGATTCGATTGTGGAGTTGACAAATCTAGTCCTCGAAAGTCAGAATTGTACCCTAGACAGTAACTGATCGTATAGTTAACTGTACCAATTGTCTCAAGACTCGACCTAGACATTTTGTTTTGATGAGACGTATAATGTTGAAGAAAAATGCAAAACAATATATGAATCGTGGATCAATGCGAAAAAACACGTTGATGAGAAAGGTGGGTTAATCTTCCTCTCGTATAGATCATTCATCTTTCTATGTATGATCTAATACTAAGGAAGAACCCTCATGAAAAACAGACAAGAGTTTTAGAATCATCAGAATTCTAGTTACATGATTCCAAACAAAGTTATCATATCAGGTAATAAACAACATGAAGTAAAGAAGACCTGAAGTTAGGGGAGTTGATAAATCCTCCCAAGGAAAGAGTTTGTCGCCAGCAGTAAACCTAACTCCTAAAGCTTACATCTAATACGAATAGCCCAAATGCGCAAACGGTATACCGTTAGCGTAGTAGCCGTCACTTTCCCATATCAGAATGGCCTTTGTCACCTAATCCTTAAGCAAGTTAATCGTGAATCCGAAAGAGTGAAATTGCTCGTTGCGGGGGGCTAAATAGAGTCCGCACCACGACTCAAGAGTGGACATCACTCCAATCCCCGAGCCCTAAGGCCTTGGAGGACAACGTTTAAATAACTCGTTCCCATATCGAGTTCGTGCACAGGGTGTTAAGTCTAGCCCTACCTTAGGAGGACGTCTTTTAAGTCGCCCCCACAGGACTTTAAGGAAGCAATTAACTTCAACACTTAAACCAACTCCTGTGAGGACGACTCTAATTTGAGCGCCATATCGATTGGTCTGACAGGTGAAGAATTAATTGCTTGTTAAGCATTGGGACGCACATGAGTAGCTTATTTGTAGCAGGGGTGGAATTATTATATCACCCTTAATCGTGATGGCCACGTCTATATGACTCCTCCCTCAAACGGAATTTAGGGCTCGCGGGTAGGTTGTCACCTTAGATTTTCCCCACAACCTGAGAGTTCATATTTATGCCATTTCCTCTTACCGGCAATTAGGCCTTCATCTCCCCCCGAAATGACCCGCCTCTATCATTCATTGCGGGGCTCTGCTATGTCTTCTTCGCTCAACGAGTTCACCTCAAAAAGCAAAAGTTGTCCTGCGGCCAGAGCGAGGAAGAGCAAAAAGCTCACTAGGACGCACGATCACTAGAGGTCAAGTAGATTTACCAGAGCTTGTTACGGCGCTGTGTAGCTGGCCGAAGCCCTTAATGGCTAATGCTGGCGAAAGCTCAGCCATTATATGAACAGTCAAGCTGAGGCACCAAACATGACTCTATGCAGGTGGTAATACTGGGAAGTTCCAGAACCAGCGCTATGTGTCACGACAAAAAAACCAATATCATGACGATGGTTCAGTGCAGCAAGGGAAATCATCATTATGAAGGAAGCATGTGACTCTAAAGAGTGTTTAGAACAGTCCGGTGTACACGGAGTCTAAGGATTACGTTCAAGACATAGTTATCACAATCTGTGAAACTAGATATACAACGGAAAGTGAAAGTGACCCCCGAAGTTGAGAGGGACCTGCTCAAACCTCCAAGGACAAATGGTGCTCGTTCGGCAGGAAGGTCAGACCTAGTCAGTAAAGCTCAAAAAATACAGAAGAGGCCAAGTCTAGAAAGGCCTCTGCAGCGTAGTAGCACATTTCCTCTCCCTAGCGCCAGTTTTCCCTCTAGCGGTGCCAAGGGTATCTGAAAAGTTCGCTCAGACGGTAATTGGTGCTGAGCGGTACTTGCTGATTCTCTTCTTTTGCACTTTTTGTGTCCTTTTCTGTCTCCATCTTTTCGTACTTCACTTCTTTCATCAAATCATCTTTAAACCTGCAAAAACAAGGAAATCAAGCATAAAACCTTGTCCAACTCTGTTATTTCCAACCAATTCAACAAAATATGAGTTCAAGCTCATTTCTAAGTCATAAAGGTTGTAATTGAAGTAATTTTAAGTATAAAAATAACAGTTTTTCAACTGTTATCACAACCCCAAACTTAGAACTTTGCTTGTCCTCAAGAAAAAGATGACTTAACTCTACAAATCATTCAATGGTTCACCACATTCAAAAATCCTTCTTTCCAGACAAGTAAATACTCAATTTAGCTATCACCAAGACTTCAATCAAGATGTCACATGTATTTAGTGTTCACTCAATCACATAATATCCAACAAATGCTATTATCATGAAGTGATCAATCAACTAAGAAAAGATGTCTTATGTGTTCATGGAATCCATCCTCACTAGATAAAGTGTATCACTCAAACACACAAGTGTATAGGAAGATATTCACTCATTTCCACTCTATATACAATGTCACATGATCAACGTTGCCTTTCATTAACCATAATCAAAAACATTACAAGCAGCATAAACAAGGCTTTCAATGGTTTGATAATGTGGCTGGCTACCAAAACAATTGGTTTTCTGGATCACAAAAACCCTGAGTTAAGAGAATACATCTAAACACACCCTTCTTAATTATTCCAACTTCTTTTGCATTGGCTTTTCTTTTTCTGTCTTTTTTTCCTTTCTTTTTTCTTTCACATTGCTTAACTTTTAGCTCAATGCTTTTTATTTTCTCCGTTCTATTTTCAACAACCCCAAACTTGAAACATTTATCCAATACCACAGAATATTTCATCTTAACCAAGGTAATTTTTTTTTTCAAAGGGGTTCTTAAATATGTTCATGGCTAAGGGTTCAAAGGATAGAACACATGTGTTCTCTTTAATTGGGCTAAATTCATGCATTTTGGCTAACAAAACGGGTTCCAATAAATGGCCTTGATCATATGATGCAAACAAGCAAGTGATTCAATCATAGAAAACCTGGGATAAGTCATTCATGCTGTCAAAGTAATAACATTAAACAACAACTCTAGGAGCTCAAAATCTCCACATATAAGCTCATTCACATTCCACATTACACATCCTGCTTAGCTATCATGATCACAATCACAACATCATGCATTTGTTCACATAGCTCGTGAACCACCTGTATAAGCATATAATGTGCACATTATCAATCATCAATCAAGATCCAAACATCATCAAACAATACTCATCATGCAATAAGTCATAAGCAAACATCATAACAGATTAAAGTTCAAATTGAGAACATCAACCCTATTCTAAAAACATAAGCAAAAAAGTTCAATATTACAATACAAAAGATAGAAAAATCCTGCTCTAGTGCTGATAGCATCCATCAGTAGATGCTATCTCAGCTCCTCATCAGCTTGTGCTGTCATCTGTATCTTCCTCCTCTTCATTATATTCAGCATCCTCAAATGCGTCATCATCATCATCATCTTCCTCCATAGCTGAAGCTTCAGCTGCTCCAGCTCTGTTGCCCTAGGTATGCTCCTCTGGCCAATCTACTACACTATGGAATTCATCCATAGTCCATGTGTGCTGGAGGTGTATCATATAGCCCAATAATCATCTCAGCAGTTGCCACCTGTCCCTCTGTGGATGGACTGCATCTGTGCACCTATGAGAGACATGTACATGTCTCTCATCTGGAATGGCTCTGCCTCATAAGTCTCTACAGATGCCAGACTCTGTGCTGGTCTTCTTTCCCTACGAGGACGTTGTGGAGGAACTGGCTGAGCTGCCTCCTCTCCTCCACAATATTGTCTATAATAGGCTTCATCAATGGATTTCCTCGGCCTCTCCAATGGCGGAGCAGAAGTATCCACCCCAGCTATCTTGCACAGGTGTGTAATCAAGGAAGGATGTCCTAAAGGGCATGATGTTCATTGGTTGGCACACATTTGATTTCGCCAATGATCGGAAGATTTGACTGTTTTGTGTTTCAGAGAAATTGAGATGGCCTGTTCTGGTGATAGCCATTCTTGCTGCAGTTGTGGGAAGCCAATCCATCATCACTGGAACTTTCTCAATCATCAGGCAATGCTCTGCATTGAGTTGCTTCCCTAGAGTAAAAGTGGTTCACACTTCATCCAAAATCCATGGACAAGTATATATCCCTGAGATCAATTGGTTGTTGATGCTCTTGTGTTTGGCTGTAACTGTTGGCTTCAGAGACACAAAGCTTATGGGTAATGCATCAGGTAAGGTCACTATTACATCAATGTATCAGGTGTGGTATAATAGTCGTAGTATATAAGTTCTTATGACAAAGTGTGCTGCACAACAGGTTTGGCAGTTGTCTCAGTGATGCTAGTCACCTCTTGTTTGATGTCAGTGGTTATCGTAATCTGCTGGCACAAGAATGTTCTGCTTGCAGTTGGGTTTGTTCTCTTTTTTGGCTCCATTGAGGCTCTCTTCTTCTCAGCTTCTGTGATGAAGTTCTTTGAAGGAGCATGGGTGCCAGTTGCTTTGGCATTTGTGTTTCTTTCTGTGATGTGTGTGTGGCACTATGGCACTCTCAAAAAGTATGAATTTGATGTTCAAAACAAGGTTTCAATCAGCTGGTTACTCAGCCTTGGCCCTAGCTTAGGCTTTGCAAGAGTACGTGGGATTGGCCTTGTGCACACTGAACTAGTATCTGGAATTCCTGCTATTTTCTCCCACTTTGTGACCAACCTACCAGCATTCCACCAAGTCCTTGTTTTCCTATGCATCAAGCATGTGCCAGTTCCACATGTTAGAGGCGAGGAAAGGTTTCTAGTTGGTCGTGTAGGTCCGAGAGATTTCAGAATCTACAGGTGCATAGTGAGATATGGATACCATGATGTCCACAAAGATGATAATGAGTTTGAAAAAGACCTTGTGTGCAGCATAGCAAAGTTCATACAAGCAGGAAGTGGTGGATGCAACTCTTCAAATGATGAGGTTGAAAAGGGTGGAAACATGACAGTGGTTGGAAGCTGTTCTACTAGCCACTCCCTGTTGGTGAGTGAGAAAGATGAGGTTGATGTGGAGTTGGATGAGAGCTCAGAATCAGAGAAGGTGATGAAACGAAAGAAAAGGGTGAGATTCATTGTGCCTGAGAGTTCAAAGATTGATACTGCTGCAATAGAGGAGTTGAAAGAGCTTATGGAAGCTAGGGAAGTTGGAGTGGCCTACATTTTAGGACAGTCCTACATGAGAGTTAAAGCAGGGTCCAGCATGCTGAAGAAGTTGGTTATAAATTTTGGGTATGAATTCTTGAGGAAAAATAGCAGGGAGCCTTCCTCTCTACTTAGTGCTCCTCATGCATCATCTTTGGAAGTTGGGATGATGTATCATGTTTAATCTTTTGTTAAGCAAATGATTTAGAGTAAGTAATCATGTACATGTTATAATCTTTTATGCATATATAGTGAAAGAGCCATCACTTAATCTGCTGTACAAATCTTCACTTTCTTTTTTCCATATCACAACCTCACGCCTTTTTCTCATATCAACCTTATATATCAAATTAACTCAAAGATATTCAATTTAGGAAAAACCTAACTTTATCCTATTACAAAACGTTTTAATCCTAGGTTAGCCTATTTAATTATTATTACTATTTTTATTAAAATTAATATACAATTAGTGTAAGCTAAAGATTCAATCTTATTTCTCAATCCTGTTGAAATTGGTGACTCCTAACATTTTCTTTGTAATGATCACAAGAATCTTCTTTTCGAAGCGAAATCGAATCAGATAAATCATTATGGAATGTGAAAGTTTCTTTTTAAATGTTTAACACAGTTACATATATAAAACTTAAAATAAAAATAATTAATTTAATTGAAATAATTCTATATTAATTAATTCACCTTGATAATAGAGTAAAAATAACTTATCTTAAGACTATTAAATATGACTTGTACAGTATTAATTCATTATCTAAATATGATGCTGAACTTTTTATACAGTTTACTAATTAATCTACTGTATTTAGAAATATTTTTTATTTTTAAAAAGAGTTTGTTCTTTTTTTGCCATCCAGCCCACCGATGAGTTGGATTGGGCCAAACTAAACTTTGGGTGTTACACTATCACTTCCTTACTCTCTCCACCTTCCTGTCACTAAAATTTTAATTTTAGGGTCAATATTTTTGAATTTTTACCCATTCTCAACTCATTTCAGTGATATATACTTGGTACACTAATGCAGTGACAAACACACAATCTCTTCTTTCTCTTTAAAGTTGAAATTCTTCTTCTCATTCGTTGTGTTGTATGAGACTGCGATAGAATTTCATTACATGGTGTGTGGAAGGTTGCAAAGGTTGGTGGTGGTGGAAGGAATTGATCCACTATCAGGAGTTTGTCTTGGTGGTGTGGTTGGGCTCGAAAGTTGCAGTGGTGCTTCGTCTAGGTGTGTAATCAAATAAACCCTAAAATAAAGATTTAAACTTTAAACGGATGTCATCCTTCAACGGATGCCAACATCCGTTGAAGGTGAAACGAATTCGTTTCACCTTAAACGAATGTTGACATCCGCTGAAGGATGACATTTGTTGAAGGCCAAACAGATATCGCATATCCGTTTTGGCCTGAGAGACAACCAAGCATAACAGCAACACATGATAAACAAATATACAAATTTAAACTAACCTAAGATGGAGATGAAAAACCAGATCCATCGCTAGATTTACGGTCCTCCTCTATGTTTCTCCACACTAGGAAGCAACACCAACAATGGAAGGAAGCAAAGGGACAAGAAGTGGGGAAGAGAAGGTTGAAAGAAAAAGAAAGAGAAGGAAGAAGAAAACCTTGAACAGAGATGGGAAGAGAAGAAGAGTGAAAGACGTGGTGTGGTCGTGGGGTGAAGCTGCCGCGGGAATGAAAGTGAGAGGTAAATTAGGATTTTGAAATATGTTAAAAAATCCCAAAAGGTAAAAAGTAAAAAAAGTTAAAACAGAATGGTAGTTTTAAAAATATAATAAATTGAGGAGGTAGAGAGAGTAAGGGGTGGTGGTGGAAGGAGCAACACTCCTAAACTTTATAAGGTGTTTCAACTTACATATCAAATATCTCAACCTTAAAAATTTTATTTTTAATCTTTCAACATTTTATATTTACCTCTAATTTTTTTTAAAATTTCATTTTTAACTTTAATAAATATTTTCTAACCTTTACAAAAATTTCAATTTTAACTTTAATAAATATCTTTTTATTTTATTTTATTTTCTTTTATTAAAAGAACTCTTTACCCCCTTAACATACTCTAATTTATATAAAATTAAAATATTATTTATATAATTTTATATTTTATAATTATAAATATAATTTATATTATAATAATAATATTAAAAAATAAAAATAAAATAATTAGAATAAGTAATAATAATAAAATAAAAAATAAATAAATAAAACAATAATAATAATAATATAAAATTTGATATAATATATTCAAATATATTAAATTATATTAAAATATTAAAATAAATTAAATAATTATTAAAATTTAAATAAAAACAAAATTTTTTAAAAGACTTCTTCATGAGATAACAAAATCCGTAAAATATGCTAACAATTTTTTTTTATATTTAAATTTAATTTAATTGAAAATTATAATATTATTTATTATAATTTTATATTTTAATAATTATTAAAATATGATTTATTATTTATTTTAATAATTATAAAAAATAAAAATAATAATAAATAAAATAAAAGTAATAATAATGAAAATAAAAATAATATTTAAAATCAATTTAATATATTTAAATATATTAAATTATATTAAAAAATTAAATTAAATATTATTACAATTTAATTAAAAAACAAGAAAGATTTATTAGTCGATATAGAAATGTGTTAACTTATGTTACAGATATGATATCCGATAAATAATTATTTTAAAATATATGTTTTTAATTTATTTTAATATTTTAAATAATTTAATATATTTGAATGAAATGTTAAAAGTTTAAAAATGGAATTTTTAGAAATGTAGGATGATATGTTAGAGGTGTAGAATGAAACACCCAACTTTATAACGAGGCTATTGCTTCTTGTACCCCATTAATTTTAAAAAATGATAACCAGGATTATTACTTTTTTGAACAGGCTTTTCGAAACAAAATTTTCAGAATTTTTGGGACAGATAATCGCAAAACGAATTTTTACGACCAAATTTTGAAAGAGATTTTTTAAATGAATTTTTTGTAACGTGTGACATGTATTTCGCAACACATTTTCATAACAGATTTCTGGCAAGAACTTTTATCGAAATTCATTGAATGAATTTGTAGACCACTCTTACACGTTTTTTCAAAAAAGTTTTCGAACAAATATTTTTAGGAAACACTTTCTGGAATGAGTTTTTTTAGTATTTAGTGATAACGACAATACAATGGTCAAAGATAATTTGAGTATTTTCCTTTCCTTGT